GCTTTCTTTCAAGCGCGCCTCCCTGAGAACCTCACAGTATTACACGATGAGAGACATACACTGCACAGCCATTCACCATGAGTGTGCAGAAGAGGTGAGTGGCGGGTACTGTGGAACCCAGAGCTTCAGACTTCTTGCTCTGAACATACTTGAATTCTCGGCAGTTAATGCTGCATTTACCCAGTGGATCGGGCACCTGGGAAAGAACTAAAGGCATCTCTCTTGGGGATCATCTCTTCGTTAAGGGGTCCACTGTGGGACAGGGACTGTATGTAACTCCAGGCACTGGGGGGCTGCCACAGCTGTGCCAGGAACCAGGCGCAGTGTGGGTGGGGGGGTTATTAAGGAAAAGCACCCAGGTTGTACCACCTCCAGAGAGGTACCAGCCCCCCAGGGAGGTTTGCACACGCTGGTTCAAATGGGATCTTCCAGCCATCAACCAAGAAAGGGCTTCTGGCATAAAAAGGCTGCATTTAAACTGCCTCGGGCCCTTCTTTCTGACCCAGCGAATAGACGGGCCCTTCTATCCAAGGGCCCCAAATCTCGTGGAAGGGACCCAGGAGACTGATGGGGGATCTTGGGTGAGCTTTTAGCATGTGTAGAGGAACTTCTTCCTTGTTTCTATACGTTGTCCCGGTGACGCTTTTACCTTAAGAGTAAGAGGTGCTGGCTTAGGAAGAGCGGTGCGGTGCTTTGCAACTGCCGGCCACACGCTGTCTGCGGCCATCGGAGAGAAGGCAAAGCACTGAGGCAGGCAATCAGGCAGGCTGGCTTGCAGGGGATAGCACAGTGGACTGCAGGGGCTATGCAGCCTTCAAACCCCAGTCAGGAGGGGGAAGAGACGTGCATCTCCTCCCAAGAGAGGTGACGTCTGGAAGCCCGAGACCCGACGTGGGTGCCCCCGAGGGACCACGTGGGGGAACGCAGGTGCAGTTACCCTGAAACGGGGATACTTGGCTCAGTGGTGCCTGACAAAGCCCAACAATTTACTGCTGGTGAGTGACACACAGCGCAGTGCAAGAGATCAAAGATAACACTTCGATAACGCTGCTCACAATCTCCAGCCGGAAGAGAATGGGCTGAGGGCATTGCAAGTTAATTATTACATCCAGGGAAAATCCACATTGTGCTTTAGTGAAAGACAAGAGTTGAAAGTCTCATTACCGTTGGGATCTGGTCAAGTTTCGAAACACTTCTATAACCAGCCCGTCAAGTTCGGAAGAATTAAGAACATAACAACGCTTGGCATTCGCCCAGTCATTCACATCTCCGAAGCATTGTCCAAACACCGAGCTGCTGACTGAGGACTTGATTCCTTCTCCCGGTGCCGGAGAAATAAAGCAATTCTCTCTGTTAATCCCAGACTCCGACAAGCGACACAGAATTCTTCCATGCTAGTTATTTGTCCAGCAGCTAGGAGATGGAGCCCTGATCATTTGCAGTGATACAAGACAGGGAAAAAAAAAAAAATCAGAGGTCTCATAGGGAAAGGCTGGTCTTGGGCTGACAGACTGAACCGGAACTTTGTCAATTCCCAGCTGTGCCACAGATCAGTTACCTCGCTTCATCTCTCTGCATCACAGTTCCCGCTCTGAGAAATGCAGACAACGATGTGTCCCTTTATCTTGGAGATTTAGACTGTAAGCTCACTACGAGCTACACAGCCAACACACAGAATGGGGCCCCAACTCAGATTGATGCTACTCTGATACCGAAGAAGGCATACAGTTAAAAGAACCACTGCTTTTTTCAAGTTGTCCTCAACCTGGGTAAAGGGACTGCAGACTTTGGTTTTAATAACCTATGAGCAGCTTAGCAGACAGATCGATACAAAAGACAGAGGAAGATTTGCTGCTCCTTTTACTATTTGCACCTCTCTGAGCTCAGCCAAAGAAAACAGTTTCACTATTTATTTCTAGTCGGTTTCCACCTTTCCTGCACTAGACACTGATGCGGCTGCTGATTTGGGGTTAACAAAGATCTGCTCAAACATTTCTGATTGGTGGGTTTTATCAAACGCCTTCTGAAGCAAAAGTTAAGGCTTGACTCTAAAACTAGTTGACAACAGCTCTTTAAATCGCTGAGTAACAACTACCACCTCCTTGGTGACCCATTTTTCCAAAAGTGGATTCCCAAGACATGACACAACCAGGTCATACTCCCTTTTCAATGTGTCTCAGCCTTTGATGGCTGATGTTCTGCCTGACAGGGGATTAGAGCTCTGCAAAGGTGAAAGAAAATCCAGTTTAATACACACAGGCCACGTCTACACTAATGAAAGGGAAAGAAGTGTGCAAGTTAACATGTTAAGTGACGTGTTCGAATCCTAGCGCAGACAGGACAGTTGTAGTTTTAGCATGCATTAGCTGGGCCAGGCAAACCCACAGCTCCCCTGTAGCATTCACCTTCGCCAGGTAACACGAGATATAACTACAACTTACCCTGTCTACACTAGGATTAAACACATTAGGTAACACACACACACCCACCTTTTTTCTAGTGAAGACAAGGTCACAGAGCTAAACAATCCACACAGCTAACAGGGCTCTCTCTTAATATGTCCTGCACACTGTACAAATGCAGTGAGGCCCCAGCTGAGACAGATGCTACTATAACAAAAGCGCCCTGGCAATGAATCCCATTAGCGTCTCCAGAATCAAAGCTGTCCATTTGTTAAATCAACCTCCTAGCCCTGAGAGTCGTGCCGAAAACCGTCAACCGGTGCTGAGCCAGCCACCCCACCTTGCCCTACACTTCCACAGCTGCTTCAGAGCTTCCCCACACTGCAGAATGATTGCACTGAATGAGCGTGGCCAGTTTTAAAGACACTGTTCAGAATGCTGTGAGCTGCCGCGAAAGTGTCGAGCATGATGTCAATTTCACGCTGCCAGGCAAAGCTCCTGGCAGCATAGGCTGGAGTAATTCACCAGGCAGGAAGGCCCCCAGAGACCGAAGCTAGGGGAGAAGAAAAGCAGACAACCCGGTCCCAGCAGGGATCACAGATGACAGTAGCCGGGAGAGGTTGGAACTTGAGATTTACCTGACACCTACCAGCCAGAGGCGGATGTGAAAGACAAACCCTTCACAGCACAGCCCAGCACCACGGCATGTCACCGAACCCGTTGTACACCCCGGTGCCTGCCCCAGGCAGTTTCAGACATGACAACAAGGGAGGGATGGGGCGAGGAAAGATGAAGGCTCAACAACAAGATCAGGCGGCCGCTCGGCTCCAGTGCGCGCACACCTGGACGGCTCACAGGACTTTCACAATTCTTGACGACTGGCTTGCAGCAGGCGTCCCGGGAGAGGTGCATGAGCAGAGGGAGCTGGGCCTGTTACCCGGGGTCTGCCCTAGTCCTTGCGCGCAGATGCCCCTTTCCTTCATTGCTACCAAGTGATCCTCTAGCTACAAGGCACCCAGCAAGTGTTTCAAGCCCTGAATACACAGTGCATCACACACATACACACACACATATACACACACACACACAGAGGCTGGGCTAGGATCCTTCGCTCTGCAGATCACACTGTAAGAGAGGGGAATCTACCCTCTGCCTGAGCCTTCTCCTCCACAGCTCTGAGCCGCCTTCCTGCCTCTCTGCAGCATCAGCACAAAGCACACCTGGGCCAGGGCCTCTCCGCTCGCCCGTTACTCGGGCTCTCCTCCCGGCTCCACCAGGGACCGATTTCAGTCTATTCTCCATAGTGCAAACCGCGCACCGCTGCTTCTGGGAACTGACGCCTGCCCTCTATTACCCAGCGCTCTAAAGGCTTTCGGGATGCAGCGTGCGTGGAAGACCCTACGCAGGCTCCTGACGGACAATAAGCTACAGTCAGAGCGTTCAGCTGAGTCCCCAGGAGCAGATGCCGCATGGAAGCTGTGGCACCCCTGGGTCTGGGGATCTGGGTCACGTGGGCACATCCCGGCAGGGATGGATAATGCCAGGCGTTGTCTGGGATCTGAAAGCAGCGTTTTCTCCCGCTGACCCTGCACACAGCACACCCCAGGCAGCTGGAGCTTTCCAGAGACGCCTGCGTATGTGTTAGCACAGTGCTGCCCAGGGTAGCAAAGGAGACATGGCTCCCCAGCGCATCGCAGAGGGAGCCGGCCAAGACCTTCAGTGGCTGCTGTGCAGGGGGGCCCCTGTGCTCGGCACCTACCCCACAGGGGGGTACAAGCATCCCCCCACCCAAAGCGGTTCGGGCACCAAACAATCAGTGCAGTGCAAACCCTTTGGGGTCCCCAGGAGCACCCCACGGGGGAGAGAAGGGCAACTTGTGGGACTCCCAACGCAGCCAGGGAAGAGACCTTCTTCAAACCCAGGCAGGGTAGTCACCCTGCACAGCCCGCTCAGCTCAGCCACCAGCCCTCCCCTTAGTCCCCCAGTGAGACGCCCTCTCAACCCAGCCAGCCTTCCTGGATGCATGCAGACCTCTTGCTGCAGATCCCCATAAGCCATACAGCCCCCCCTGCACCCCCCCCAGCCCAGCCTAACTCCCCCAGCTCCCCAGCTCCCCGGCAGCCCCCCCCCAAGCCCTGCACAGTCCAGCCCCAGCCAAACCCCCCAGCCTCAGCCTAATCCCCCCAGCTCCTCCTGCAGCCCCCTCGCCCCAGCCAACCCCCCCAGCTCCCCCTTGCCCCAGCCTAACTTCCCCTCCACCCCCAGCAGCACCTCCAGCCTACACCCCCAGTTCCCCTGCAGCCCCCCATAAGCCCTCCATGGTCCAGCCCCAGCCAACCCCCCCAGCTGCCCTGCAGCCCCAGCCTAACCCCCCAACCAACCCCCCCAACTCCCCTGGAGGCCCCTGCCCAGTCCCCCCCAGTTCCCCTGCATACCCCTCATCAACAGCCTACTCCTCCCCCCACCCCCCCGGCCCCATGAAGCCCTCCCCTTGCCAGCTTACCCTCCCCCTGCTCCCCTGGGGCCCCCTAGCTCCAACCCCCCGGGGCGGGAGAGAGCCAGGAGCGGGTCCGAGCGGGATCCCCGCGCCGCACTCACCCGATGCGGAACACCAGGGGCCCGGCCAGGGCCATGAGCACCTTGGCGAGGTAGTGGCGGAGGCGGCGGGCCGGCCGGCACCGGGCGAGGGAGGCGGCCCCCAGCCCACAGCAGGCGGCCAAGGCGGCCGCCAGCACCTGGAGCCGGGACAGGCAGCCGGCCCACGCCATGCTCCAGGGCGGCCCCGCCCCTCGAGCCGGCCCCGCCTCCGCCACCCGGGAGACCAGCGAACGCCGCCGGCCTCAGCCTTCGAACCACGCCCACTTCGAATGCGATGTATCGCCGCGCATAGAACGCGGAGACACTCAACTCGGGAATAGGGCTGCAGCGCCACCTCGTGGGCCTTGGGTGTCAGCGCCCGAGGGAAAGGGGGCCCTGAGCTAGGGACAACCGCTGGGCTGAGCCCGGCCTGCTCCGAATTAATTGTGGATTGGTGACAAGTTGCCATTGCAAATGATTATCCAATTCATTCACTTTCCCCTGCTTCCTGGCCCCTTCCCCCTTCCGGGTCAGCGACTGTTCCAGCCTTCTTCCAAACCCCATCATGGTAGGCCCGCTGGGATCCGCTGATAACCGGTCCCTTGGCCTTCTTCAAACCACAGTCACTGCAAGACCCATCCTACCCCTATAACTTTCCTGTCCCTGCTGGATAAGCCCATATCAACACAGCCGAGCCTCCAGGGACTTGTCTTTAATTGGAGCAACCTGCTGAGCTCTCAGTGATTAATTAGCAATACCATGGCCAGTGGTTAATGAATGCAGACCGTGTATTTTGAATTAGCATGGCCACAAATCATAATTAATTAACAAGCATTATTTGCGATGAATATCATTTCTGTTGCCTTGGAGTGCTGTGACTCCCAATGCAGCCAGGAAAGAGGCCTTCAAACCCAGGCACCCTGCGCAGCCCGCTCAGCCACCAGCCCTCTAACTATCTCCCCATGTCTCCCACAACTATCTGTGCTTTCCTCTCCGTCACCCTCTATGCATGGACCTTCTTCCTTCCCTGGGACCGGAGCCTGCAAACACCTAGGCACCTTAGTAAAGGCAGTGGGAGTCTATGTGGGCACCAAGGCTCTGCCTGCATGGATCTGATTACAGGAGTGGGACCTTAGCGTGTGGAGTTTGCATTTTCAACTAGCTTTGAACGTGGACTTGCGGGCTCGGCCTGGTCACGCTAATAGAATCATCTTTAACTGAGGACTGTAATTCGCTCCTCCGAAATTGGCCTTGTAAGTTTAATGAGACAGAAACACTGAGGTTGCCGAGCGTGTGAGCTTCGTCACGAGAATGCAGATCCTTAAACCAAAGCATTAAAATAGAGTTTATGAAACCGTGCCAACCCTTAGGCTTGGCTCACTGCACAGCGCGAATTTCACCCCTTGTTCGCCAAAACTGACATCCCAGAGCTGGCTGTCGTTATAACCAACAGTTCCCAGTGTGTAAATAAACAAGATTGCCTCCATGAAATACCTGAGTATCATCAATTTCACCTCCTCATTGGAACAACCTGCAACACCTCCAATTTGGCCAGCCACTCGGGTCAAAAGTAGTAAAAGCAGCAAAGCGCTCTGGAGTTATTGGGAACTAGCCATTTGTTCTAGACACAAACTAAGACACAAGCCCAAGCAATAGAAACACAGGAACACAATCTGTGTTCTCTCGTCCCTGGGAGAGTTTCCAGCAGAGAAAACAAGCAGCAAGACCCACCAGGGGCAATCGTCTCTGGGGAGCTGGAAGAGAAGCTAGTTGTACCCACCCCCAAAAAAATCAATACGTCGTATAAAACCCAGAGTTCCCATGGGAAGATGAATTCCAGAAGTAACAGGTCTTCCTACAGCCGTACACAGAGAGATTCCTTAATTGAATAACTTCCAGGCAAAATAACTGGGCTACAGAAGCTAAGGTGATTTACAAAAACAACGAGGAGTCCGGTGGCACCTTAAAGACTAACCGATTTATTTGGGCATAAGGTGATTTAGCCCCTCTGCCCAAGTCCAGTGGAGTTAGTGTCCAAACGGGAACGTAAACCCATTCTTCTATCCCAGACTCCTGCCGGGCGTGCCCTTCCTCGGCAGGTCTGTAGCCCTTCTCTGGGGCTCAGCTTCCCGTCCTTTCTTCCTCGCATTGACAGGGGTTGCTGTACCAAAGGGAGAACCAGCATCTGCCCTCCACATGTCCCCAGGCCTGGGACTCTAAACAATTGGACTGTGCCTCAGAATGAAAACTGCCTTCTCATCTTCTCGGGGCCCCTCCCATGAGCCTGGCTTGGGCCTCCTCTCTGCCCTTTCCTGGCTGTTCTTCATCCACACATCGTCCGGGTGACCACAGGTGGCCCTTAGATCCCCCAGCAGGCCTAGTTCTTAGTCACATGCTCCCCCATCACCTGGCCCTGGTCTCCAGCTGGGGCAGTGAGGTTGAGGGCCAACCCGCTCACCAGGGGACATGGTCCTTGTGCGGCGCAGAGACCAGGCCACAGCCTAGGGAGCTGGGGAGATTTATGGCCTTGAGGGACGAGCCCACAATCTCCCCAGTCGTGTGGCAGCAGCAGCTTTAGCGCAGGCGGTGACCCCGTTTCGATTCGGCCCTCGCAGGTTTTGATCCATTTTGATGCTTTTGTTTAAAACAAAAGTCTCTCTCGGCCGTTCCCCCTTCGTTACTATGGAAACGATGATGTCACAGGGACGGGAATGTTTAGGTGACTCCACGTGGGGTGGAGAGAAATAAAGCCGCACTTTACGCGGTGGGTTGAAACGGATCGGGTCTGTGAAATGCTGACGTTTCTGTGCTGTTTTCCCAGGGATGTAGAGGGTTCAGATACCACGGTGATGGGCATGGGACAGACAGACATGTCCATTTTGGGACCCAAACAGACTAGCAGTGTCCCTATAACATAGGATTAGGAACAATCCATTCATGGACCCCTCACCTCTAGGGTGCCCCTCATGCCGGGACAAGGCATTGTAGAGGATTTCGCTTCTCATTACCCGACACACACACCCATCCCGTTGGCCCCCTTCCTCGGCCCCGATGACCAGTCCCAGCCGGTGTCTTCTCCTGACCCCTGCTCTGAGTTTTCTGTGGCTTGGCCCTCTGGCCGAGTCATGTAACAGTTCACCCCCCACTTCCAGGGTAGCGAAGTCCAAGTTGAGATATACAAAAGGTCCTTCACCCCTCCTGGGCTTCTCTGAAGTCCTTTGCTTCTTGGCCCCTTCTCCTACCCCCCGCAGAGCGTCTCTTTTCTTGCTTCTTCCCCAGCAGGATTCCCCGACCTTCCCTTTGCCAGGAACTCCAGGAGGGAATCCTCTAGCTCCCTGCAGGCCCAGTCGGGCTCATCCCAGAGGACAACTCCCCTTGTTTTCCTCTCCAGAGTCTTCCCTCTGCTCCTGAGGTCCCAGCTCAGCTTACAGAACGCTCTCCCGGCTTCACCACCGCAACTGGGGGCGGTCTTTCTAATTAAACTCCATTACATCCAGCTGGGATCACTAATTAGCCCAGCTTATCGGTGAAGCTGAGGGACAGCTAAGTCAAGTCACGGGTAAGGTTGAACCCCGCTTGCCTCCAAGGGCCAGCCAGCCTGGGACATTTCCCTTGTCATTTCTACTGGGCAACTCTCCTTCTCCAACCCCCGTGGCAGGACGTCACCTCTGTTCAGAGTATAGACACATGGGTCTTCCTAGGTTCCCTGGGCTCTCAGGCTGAGTTTCTGCAGTTGCGTTGACCAGGAGAAAATGCCTATGGGAAGCTCAAAACATCAGGGAAAAATGCATGGTGGGCAAGGCTAAGGACAATCAAAGGGAGTTTTTTAAAAGTCTGAACAAAAGACATCCTAACAATGGCACAGGTCCATTACTCGATGGAGATGGTAAAACCATTACTAATGATGCAGAAAAGGCAGAAGTGCACAGTAAATATGTTTTCTCTGTATTTGGAAAGAAGCAGGATGATGTGCTCGTTTCAGGAAGAGGGTAAAGTATTTTACAGTCCTTTTGTAATTAAGGAGGATGTTAGACAGCCTCTACTAGGGATTAGCATTTTTAAACGAGCAGGCCCAAGAGTCCTAAAAGAGCTGGCCGAGGAGAACTCTGGCCCATTGATGTTAATTTTTAATAAATCTTGGAATAGCAGGGAAATTCCAGAGGACTAGAATGAGTGCTAATGTAGTGCCAATATTAAAAAAGGGCAAGCAGGATGACCCAAGTAATTATAGGCTCATTAGCCTGATATCAATCCTGGGCAAAATAATGGAAAAGCTGATATGGGAGTGTGACAGGGCTCCCACTCACCCCACTAGCGCCTCCTGCTGGTCATCTTGGGGATCAGCTCTACAGGTCAGCATGCCCACTCCTGGTGGTTTCTTGCCTGCCACCACTTCTGCTCTGGGACCCCTATCACTCCTAGGACTGCGGCATCCTCTTCATGACAGTTCTCTGTTTATGCCACAGTCTGTGCTCTCCTCTTCCAGGGGCCAGTACTGCAGTCCAACTGTGCTCTCCTCTTCCAGGGGCCAGTACTGCAGTCCAACTGTTCAACTACTTCCTCAGTGGCAAGTGCAGGGGAAGGGCGAGGATCTGGGCCAACCCACTACTCTGGGTCTTGGCCCAGGGACCCTGTAGATGGCAGCCATGTGCCCCATCCCCTTCAATCTCTCAGTACATTTCCCTGGACCACTTCCTTGCTGCCCCAGCACCTTCTTAGCCCTTACCTCAGGGCCTCAGCATGCCCATCCGAGCAGCCAGCCAAGAGCTCCCTCTCACTCCCCTATTCCTGCCCAGCACTGCTCTGTCCAGGGTGCTAGCTTCCCTCCACCTGCAAGGCAGGCAGCCAGTCCTCCCTCCTTAAGTTCCAGGGAGCTACTGACTCTGCTCCTCTCCCCTGCACCTCTTCTTATATGGGCCTACCAGGCTCTGATTGGCTGCTCCTCGCAGCCCTCCCTCCTATTGGCTGCTTTTTGTGCAGCCTCCCTAGGGCTCTATTAACCCCTCACAGGCCAGAGTGGGGCGGATGCCCTATCAGAGGGAGTCAATAAAGAAATAATATAATTAATGGCAGCCAAAGATGGTTATAGAGAAAATAGGTCTTGTCACACAAACCTGATTTCATTTTGATGAGGTTATAAATTTGGTTGATGAAGATATAATATATAATGTATAGATCGATCTAATAA